CCCCCACTAACACCAGCGAAGCAGCAAAGGTTGTGTGACCCCCACTAAGCGAAGCAGCAAAGGTTGTGTGACCTCCACTAACACCAGCGAAGCAGCAAAGGTTGTGTGACCTCCACTAACACCAGCGAACCATACATATCCCACGGGTAATAGGATTGGTATTTATGCAGTGCCAGTGACAGATGGGTAGCACAAGGAGATAAGCACTTTGTAGCAGCCTGGGGAACAAGGGTCTATCAACACCCAGGTTTCCATCCTTTTAAAGTTTCTCAGAAGAAACTGCTCAGGGTGTCAGCAAACACCAGGATGCGGCTCTTGCCGATCACGTGTCCTTCATGGAGATGAGCTTCTCTTTTTCTTCGATCTCTAAAGCACGAAAAAGAAGAGACCTATTTTGTAGAGAAAGAGGCACTTTGCTACGAAAAACAAGTTTGTGCCTATTTGGAAAAGAAAAGGGAAAAAGTGTAAGGGACTTTAAAACAGCAAAATGAGGTTTTCTGTGCTGTTACAATGCTCAAGGACAGCTCTGCTTCAATGCCTTTACAATTTACATGCGATTTTATTCTGGTGATGTCTCCATGGTCAGCAAAAGCAAGCAACAAAACAGCACATGACTCCCGAGCCACGGAAAAAATTCGAAGAGCCTGATGCATACAGTTTCAAAATTCTCCACTTGTGACAGTACCATATAAGTGGGCTCTCAAGCTGTGCACATCGATTGGGTCTTTGGGTGTTTATATACATTGCAGAGGATATGAGGCCTCCAACAGGAACTCACCCACACAGCTGGACTATTCTGAGTCTTAGCCTTCTGGGTTAGCGAGCGGCCTCTCTCAGCCAGCAGCTCCTCAGATGCTAAGGGCTGATCATTCTCAGTGACAAACAGTAAGAAAGGTGCCTTTGCGTTCTCTAGATGAATCTCAACACCTCATGACAACAGAACAACGCTGGTCTTAGCAACACATGTGGAGAACAGAGCAGATAGAGCAAGACTCGGGCTCTATCCAAGCCCTACGAGACAACTGTACAGTTCAGGGCAGAGATACCTCTGGTCCCAGGTAGACCCCATGCTGGTGGAGCCTTTGTGCCATGGTATATTCTTTTACCGAACTACACAGGCATCTCCCCTGGTTATTATTTAGTGTTTTAAAGAACACAGTGGAAAGCGTATTAGAGCAGGAGACAGATGACAAGACTTGGGTGTCAGGACTGTCACCCAATGGTCCGGTTTACATTCAAGAGTGAGCTGACTCCTTGGCTGCAGGCCACAGTAATTGGATTGTCTGCTTCTCCAGGTCCTTGCATCTCTATGTACCACGTGTGTAGGATGCTGAGCACGGGCACCCAAAGTCATGGGATCTCTCTCCAAAAACAATCAACAGATGAGCTTCTGCCAGTTAGAAATGAATGCAGTTAAGGGCGAGTCCTACTCCTTGCTATTGGGATTGGCATTGACATGTCTTAATGCATCCCATCTTCCCCTGGACAACACGGCAGTCTTCCATTTCACACGGCATATTAAGGGCATATTAAGTGCATACACACACACACACACACACACACACACACACACACATACATACATATATATATATATATATATATATATATATATATATATTCCGTCTGTTTACAGCTTCTTGCTTCTCAAAAGTAAAGTGATCTTACAGTTAGCATCCAATTAACCTTACCAGGTGTAGCAAAAATGTTGTCTTTTTTTCCTAAGAAAGTCATAAGTAAGTCTCTCTGAGGGCCACACCCTTTTCTTAAGGTCAATAGGTTTCCAGTTCACACTCTCACTCCCCAGTCAGCTGGTTCATACCAAAACCTCAAAGAAAAAAAAAAGCCTCCTTACATAATGACCCTTTTCCCACAACAGCCAGTGCTCTATGGCTGTGGGACAGGAACCGTGCAGATCTGACTGCCGCCTCCTGGCTTATTTTGACAGAAGGAACGGAGCCCAGCACAGTGTTAACCCTCCGTGTGGCTTGCGCTGAGCTACAGGTGGTCGAGCCTGCTGATGCTGATTGCCACGCTTGTGTGTCTGATTGGTGACAACTGTACATCTGATTGTATCGTCGGCTCTAGATTTAGCATCTTCTCGGGCTTCATTCCTCTGGCCAGCCAGGCGGTGTGATGTGATACACACTCAGCAATCAGTGCGTTTACTTTGAATCTTTTTTTTTCTTTTCAGGATTCAAAATGAAACCCAACAAATTTCAGCTGAAGTCTAAAAAAAGGCTTTCTATGAGTCACGCACTGGCAGGGACTATGGAATCATATGCATGCTTTCTCACACAGTTGTAAGTACGTATGTATGTGTTACCTGTTCATATATTACATGTACAAACGGACTTCATGTTCATACAGACAAACGTACCTTCAAATTACTATTTTTTGATAGTTTGTCACCAAGACAAAACTCATGTTTTTATCACAACATCAATATGACTTATAGATAGGCTAACTTCAAAGAGATTTTTAAACCCTTTAAAATGTTCACTGATTTTTTAAAGGATTCTAAAGAATTAGAATTAATACTCTATGACTTTATTTAAAAATGTTTCTTAGGGTTGAGTACTTCGGAGTCTCTCACTCTCTGTAAACCATCCAGTTGTGGGTCTCTGTGTAAATTTCCATTTTTCGTTTCATAAATATTAATTAGTATATAGGTACTTATGTGACAGTGCCAAGTGAGGTCATTTAGCTTTAAAGTCTGGATGTGGATAAAATCTTTCAGTGGACTAGAACCTGCAGGGGTGACAGGAGCTTTGCATGACTAATGCTTTCCTTCACCCACCCACTTGTCTCACCCTCTCAGCGAGTCCAACATTGGAAACTTTCTCCTTCACATGGGAGAAATTAGATTTCGAATTCCTACCAGAACTAAGGCTGGAAGAAAGGGTCAGGAAATGGAAGCAGAGAAAAGTGTTACTTCAGAGAAAAGCAGCTCCTGAGAGATGGTCAAAGGCACTCAGCTGGGTCTTCATGAAGTGCTTTTGGTTTCGTACTTTGCAGAAAAAGAGACAGACAACAAGGAGAAAGAAAGAGGAGGGAGAAGAATGGGGAAGGAGGGAAGAGAAGCAGGGAGGAGGGAGGAAAAGTGGGGAAGATGGAGGAGGGGGAGAAGTAGGGAGGAGGGAAGAGAAGCGGGGAGGAGAGAGGAAATATGGGGAGGATGGAGGAGGGAGGAGAAGTAGGAAGGAGGGAAGAGAAGAGGAAGAGGGCCATTGTCTATGCTACCATTCCAGATGACTGCAGGCTTAAATCTGGGTACTGCCTTTTCCACACAGTGTGAGGAAAGTCCAAATGAGAGAAAGCAATAGCTCCCTACATGGAGGCAGGAGAGCACATTTTTTTTTTTAGTCTCTCATTAGTAAGCACCAAAAGAGAGGCCACCACTGACTAAGCAGTGATATAAATCAGGTTACACCATTCCTGAAGGCATTCAAATAACCAAGGGTTCATTTCCTGTAAAAGCAGGACTATATCACGACTGAGAAACTTAGAGAAAACAACGTTCACGTCGAAATTTTAACATTGCTATCATTTATTTTCCTTTAAGTGGGCATTTTGATCCACTATCAGCTCTAAAATCTAACATTCATAGAACTAAAAAAAAATCACATAAGCAAACAATAGAAGAACCACTTCTCTCCAGTGGTGAAGACGGGGCTGGGCAGTGCTTGTGGGTGTGGGATATCAAAATGACAGCGGTGGGTAGGAAAGATGCATGCCTTGACTTCACATAGCCCTTAGTCCTAGGAAAGCCCTGTCAAGGTTTTATAGGTGAGGTGGTGTATTGTTATTTCCAGCTCTAAAACATTAAATGCATCCTAGTTTTAGCTTTTGAATCATGCCAAGATATTTATGGATGCTTGGTCCTGTCTCAGAAAATCAACTTCTAATATTTAAGGATCACTGGGTCTACAGAGAAGGAAGCTGTCTCACACCTAGACTGGGACAGCTATATTTCTCTGCTTCCATTCCTATCCATGGTCCCCAAGCCCTGGAACAGAACCACTGACAGAAACAAAAACATCAAAAGTACTAAGCTTATAGGGTACTGATCTATGACACAGCCATCCTTGTGGTCATCTTGCTTAATCTCGACATGCTATGCTGTATTTGGCAGAGAACTCAATCATTTACTAATTTACACAAGTGCTATGCTATACATATATTCTGAAGTCGAGCAATCTGGAACACATGAACACAGCTGACAATGCGGATCGGCTGCTGGGGACGGCAGAGTGTACAGGCAGTAGTCTAGTGAGGTGGCCATGGGTGTCACATGGTACATGGCATATGTGAAGCATGTGTGAAGCAGAGCAAAGCACTTTGGGAATCAAGCTCATCACCAATTTACCATTCTAGCAGAACATCTGATAACCTAAGGGACGATCAACCCCATGAAGGCAAAAGCTCGGGCTGGGTTTGATGATATGAAGAATGTTCCATGTCTAACGTTTGGCACTTGGCATTGATAATGTATATGGAGAGATACACCTTCAGCTTATAAAATAGAAATTTGAATTTAAAAATATATATTATGAATATGATTGGATACAAATTGATGCAAAAATATGTCTTGCTTTCCCTGTTTTATGATTTCAAAAAGCATCTCATTTGTTGGTACTGAGTGTTGAAGCAGAGTGAGGAACCCTTTGGTTATGTTCAAGAAATGCTTTCACAGTATGTGTTATTACAGTGTTGAAGTATAGCTAACATTAATATTTAGTACTCAACCAAGAATAACTAAACATTTATGTAGGTAATTGTAATAATATGTTTAGTTACATTGTTTTGAGTAGTGAGAGCACAGCTATCTGAGTGAAAATTTGTCAATATTTTCTACTTGATACATTTTGAATTAAGTCTCTGAGATAGTTCAGTAATCCTGATATGCAGGAATTACAGAATGCCTTCATTGCTACATTTAGGTAGGTGGCCTGAGGCTTTCGCTGAGAGACATTTGGAAGATGGCATATCAGAAAGAGAGACCTCTCATCTATCAGGCTGACTGGTAACTGTGGCAAGACATCTATACCCTGATAGAATTACTTGGGACAGTGTTTGCCAGTCCACCATTTTCCAAGATGGGGAGCAGCCCGTGCACTCAGTAACCTTGCCTGAGCAGGCTGTATGGTCACTTCCGGAAGCCTCCATTGAAGACTTCCAAGCAGCTATCTTGAATGGTAATCTTCGTGTTGTCTTTAGTCACAGCCGTCGGGTTGCTGGCCTTCATTTCAATTGTAGGTAAGTTTTAAAGTGCAATTCGTAGGGCCGAACCACCAGAAAGATCAGAATGAACATGACCCCTCCCACAGAATGCAAAAGTTCAAATTACTAACAGAGTCAGTGTCCACACCAGAGAATGTCCAGGACCATGGTCACCGTGAGCATCCCTGCCCACACCGTCACCATCATCAGCCCCTCTTCAGCACAGCTGCAGTGTCATGGTGGAAAGCACAGCCTCAGGACAGCGTCCAGTTTGGGTGTGTAAATACTATTCTGTGATTCTTGGCCCACTTGGCAAATACTTTCTTCTCGGTGATGAATCTGTGTCCCCCGTACGGGGCGTGTTCGTGGAGAAGATACTCATTACACTCATCCTTGCCTTGTTCATAGTAATGATAGGGGACTTTTCTATACCCCTCTGTCCTGGAAGAAAAACAAAAAGGGAGGAAGACTGAGCCAAGGATGAGACCAGCATTTACAAGAATCCATTATGTGCCCGTAAATGCATTTACTTAAAAACCGTCATCAATGAGCTCAGTTAAAAGCTACTACACATGAAAGCTTTTAGGAAGAAGGAACAGTTCTTAGTGTCCTAATAGATCAAATACAATTTACATATCATACCAGTTACATTCAAACACAAGGCTCACTTTCAAAGAAGGAGATGGTATAAGACAGGACAAACCTTACACAGCCCAGAGCTCTTTAAGAGGTAAGGAAACTGAGTTTTCACAGTGAAGTTTGGGGGTCATCTCTGTTCTCTTAGACTTAGCGGTTACGGCACAAATGTTTATTCATGAAGACCGTGGCCCAGAGTTACATTTTAAGAGTATGATTAAATGCTCTCTGAATCATATTGGTAGAGGAACTATATTCCACCACCTTCATGAAGCGTGAGAGTTTGCCAATCTGATTAGAAGCTACCCTGCCAGACACCATATACTGTGCATAAACACACTCATTTAAAATAGAGTCTGGCAGATCAGTCACACATTAGTGAAATAAAATTTCAGTAAGACTTGTTGAGCCAGAATGTTTCTCTGAGGTATCAGGGCATTTTCTTCTTTGTTAGCAAATAGAGCCATTGGCTGACAGCTGTCCATCAACCCTCAGAGAGAGAGACGTGGCAGCCTTGATCTTGCAAATTAAATCACCGGTAAAACTTGCTCTAGATTTCCAAGTCCCAAGTCCTGGATTTGTGACTGATCAAGAGAGAGTGTTCCTTCTGACATGTGACATCAGACTGCAGTAAATGCAGTAAATGCAGTTTTCTCTCTATCACGCTTAAAAGTCGGAACATGACACACTGACAAGAACATGTCACATTGGCAAAGAACACCCAGAAATAATTGTCACCTGATCTATTTCTCAGATTTATGACATTAAAATGAATTGTGATGTTTTGACAACATATCAGAGTGGGAACCGCATAAAAATAATTCCGTGCGCTCTTACTTGCAGTAGGTCTCATTTATCATCCCGTAGACGTGGATACTGTAACAGGCATCCATGGCCAGGATGAAGGTAAACCACCCGGTGCTGAGATAGGAGCCAGACTGGACTCTGGAGGAACAAAAACAGATAAAACAAAACACAGAGTGACAAGAAGGTGCAGTTGGGAAACAAGCCATTCTTGATCAAAACCACAGTGCCCGTTATCAGGGGGAGCGCTGAGGAACTTGACAGTCTGTCAAGGATACACACTTGTTGTGAATTATCTCTGAATTATTTATAGGTACACTCTTGCTCTCACTACCTTAAGCCCCAGAGCTCTGCTGGGTGGAAGAGAAGCCATATGGCAAATATCTGAAGTCAAATAATCCCTCTCCCTTCAGGTAAAGAATAATTCATTTGGTTTTCTGTAAGACCCAAATTAGGGGTGTGGATCAGCATATGGGTTTTCTGAAAGTTTCTCGGAGTGCTGATGAGCATGGAATGATAATGGCGTCTTGCTTACCTGGACACAGCACTTTCTCAAAGTCTCCTTAGCATCTTTTGCATGCTTTAATACTGTGTTTGTGTGAGTATATGGCTGTGTGTATGCGTGACTGCGTGTGTATGTGTGCAGATGTGTATATGAGTATTTGTTTAGTTATCTGTGTATGTGTGTATACATGAGCATGTGGGTATGTGTCTGTGTGTGTATGTGTGTATGTGGCTGCATGTGTGTGTGTGCAGATATGTATATGGGTATTTGTTTAGTTATCTGTGTGTGTGTGTGCGTGTGTGTGTGTGTGTGTGAGCATGTGGGTATGTGGCTGTGTGTGTGTATGTATGTGTGTATGTGGCTGCATGTTTGTGTGTGTGTGCATATGTGTGTATGGGTATGTGTTTAGTTATGTGGATGTGTGTAGTATGTGTATGTGTGTGGGTATATGGACATGTGGGTATGAGTGTGTATGGGTATATGAGTATGTGACCGATCGTGTGGTTATGTAGATGTGCTAGTATGTGGATGTATGGGTGTGTGATTGTGGGAACATGTAGAAGTGTGTGTATGAACATGTGTGTGTGTGACGGGGTGCCTGTGCACAAGAGGAAGACAAAAGGACAAAGTGCAGGAGTCAGTTCTTTCCCTCCACCATGTGGATCTTGGGAATCAAACTCAGGTAATACTTAGGCTTGGTTGCAAGTACTTGTATCTGCTGAGCCATCTTGCTCTCCCCCCACCCCCCATAATTTAGGAATTTATTTTTGAAGTGCTGAAGAGTGAACCCAGGACATTGTATATACTAAGCAAGTCCTTTTCTGCTGAACTCCATCCCACTCTTGGTTTCTACATGTAAAGTAAACGCAGTGTGGGTTAACCTGTTTCATGAAAGCACCTGAATGTTTACCTAATCAGCCTTGCAGGCATCAGAACACAAGCTGCTTCTTAAGGCCTAGCTCCAGCCTCTTGGACACATTTTACTGGTCACCTATAATGTGCCTATCACTCTTACAGATGCTATAAATACAAAGTTACGGCCATTGTCTCTGTCTTTATGCTGACTGGAAGGTTAGATTTACATCCACTTGCTCTATAAAGTTCCTCAGGGATTGCCTCTGTGTTAATGGTAATAGGAGTCTGGGGTAGTGGTGGAGGGGCAGGGAGTGTGTGAATTAAAGAGAACAAGGCCCTGTGGGCCATGGCAGGGAAAATACTTGAGGAAGATCACACAACCCAGATATATCCCAAACATGGAAATGTGCATTGCAAAATTTGGTTTGTCTGGGGTGGGCTGTGGAACACAGTAATGGGATCTGGGATGATTTAATCAGAGACAGTGCTGACTGCATGGGTCTGCCAAAGGGAAATGGTTCAGGATGGATCTCTGTATCTATCCTTAGTCAAGCTGACCTAATTCATTCAAAAGGCTCAATAGTCTTTCTCCTCGCATCTCTTCCTGCAGAGGCAAGTGGATTGCTCCAAGTTATCTGGCAGCTGGGCAGAGACATTTCCCTTGAGACTCAGGACTGGCAGGACTTCAGCCAACTCTTCTACCAACTAATGCCCACATACCCAGAACCACCCTGGGTGAGGCCCCCAGACACAGGTCAGTATCTGTGGATATCCAGAACCCCAGTACCGGGGATGTATGTCTTTAGTATGATGCCATCTTTGGGTCTGAGTTACAACCCCTTGCTTGCTTGCTTGCTTGCTTCCTTTTTTCCTTCCTTCCTTCCTTCCTTCCTTCCTTCCTTCCTTCCTTCCTTCCTTCTTTCCTTTTTTCCTTCTTTTTTCTTTCCTTCCTTCTTCCCCTTTTCCTTCCTTTTTTCCTTCCTTCCTTCCTTCCTTCCTTCCTTCCTTCCTTCCTTCCTTCCTTCCTTTGTCCCTCCTCCCCCTTCCTCCTCCCTCCCTCCCTTCTCCCTACCTCCTTTTTCCATTTCTCCTTGACTAGTGTTGACCTAGAACATGTTAGCACTTCAGGAATTACAGGGACTCACGCGGGTAGGCTTTGTGTGATTCTCTGGGAGAGGCCAACAAAGCCCACCTGTGCCCTCTCTGCTATCTTGTCTGACTCTGAGCTGCCTCTATTTAAGAGTCCATTTCTCTGCACCTGCTGGTGCATGTTCTCCAAATGGAGAATGCAGTTGGCACTCTGTGTCTGTGGTAGATTGGAACCAAGACTCCCACATCTACCCAACTCTCCAGGTGCTGAAGCTCCTGTGTATTGGAGCAGCATTTAAATAGCACCTACACACACTCTCCTACATGTCTCGGTCACTTCTAAGTTAATTCTAGCTAATGCAATCACTATATAAAGAGCTGAGATAATACATTACTTAAGAAACAATGACAAGAAATCAGTCTGTTAATGGCTTATCCTGATGCAGTTCCCTTTACTTAGTGGAAAACAGTATTTGGGTCTACTACAGTTTGTAGCACCCAGAGATCCAGGACCTGTGAACACTGAGGGCCATGCGTTCCAGAGACTGAACCACAGTGAGTTGTCTATACTGCTCTATAGGATGGAACCAGCAGTGGTGTAGAAGTATGATCCACAAGTGGGAAGGTATCACAGAGAACAAGCAAGCCTTTGCTACCATATGGCTTAGCAGAAGGCCTTCTGTACCCTAGGGTCTCAGGGACCATCAAGGATGCAGGGTTAGAACAGCTAGTGCCATAACCCAAGGTCTCCAAGATATTCTATGTGGACATTCTGTCCTGTGCTGTCTTTGCACGGTTGCTGTTCTGACTGAATTAGATGCTTGCTTTTCTTCTTGATTCTTCCAAAGCTTTACTCGGTTTATATCTGTGCTGGCTGGGTTTATGTCAACTTGACACAAGCTGGAGTTATCACAGAGAAAGAAGCTTCAGTTGAGAAAATGCCTCCTTGAGATCCAGCTATAAGGCATTTTCTCAATTAGTGATCAAGGTAGGAGGGCCCCTTGTGGGTGGTGCCATCCCTGGGCTGGTAGCCTTGGGTTCTATAAGAAAGCAAGCTGAGCAAGCTAGGGGAAGCAAGCCAGTAAGTAGCATCCCTCCATGGCCTCTGCATCAGCTCCTGCTTCCTGACCTGCTTGAGTTCCAGTCCTGACTTCCTTTGGTGCTGAACAGCACTGTGGAAATGTAAGCTGAATAAACCCTTTCCTCCCCAACTGGCTTCTTGGTCATGATGTTTGTGAGGGAATAGAAACCCTGACTAAGACAATATCCTTTCCATAATTCTTTATTAGTAACTCAACCAGGCACAGTGGAGATCAGTAAGATCGTGGCATTTGTTAGAACAGGTTGTATGTGTTTGAGTGCTTCTATATGTTAGAATTTGGACACAGCATTTGTTTATAATCGGGGGGGGGGGACGTACCATACTGACTGTGTGCTAGAAGCTGCTATGATCTGACACAATCAGTGGCCACATAATACTACACACCAAACACCTGTGTGAGAACAGTGGCGTGCAGGTTGACAGAAAGACACCTGGTCTCACAATCCAACTTGGCTACTGACTGAAGTGGGATGCTGCAGACAGCTCAGCTACCCTCTGGGTCAGTGTCCTTGCTTCTAGGTGAGATGACTGAACTGTGTCATCTCTAAAGCTACTTCCTGTTTTAAAATCAAGTGACTCTGGGTCACCAGAGAGTATTTTGTCATTACGCTGTAACCAGTAAGCTCTGTGCCATGATGTACATGTGCTGATGCTGTAGTTAGCAACTGCATGAGTCACATGACCAGTTAGGTTCATTGGCATGATGGACATGATACCAACGTCTGGGGTACATGTAGAAAGAGAAAGATATAAGGAAAAGTTTTACCTTGTTGTTGGATTACATACTATGACTGAAGCTTTCAGGAGTGGTGCTTTCTGCCCCTGTCTTAACAAAAACTGCTAGCAGAGAATGTAAGAAAGAGAGTGTCATGGGACCAGGGCATTGAGAGTAAACTTTAATTTCCATGAATTACGGGAATAAATATAAATTGAAACATACTGTCATTCTTTTGATGGGTTCCTTCCTCTGAAGCTTAGCATAAAAGGGGGACATAGACGTTACCCTAGCTGAGGATAAAGGGAAGACCTTTGGGAAATATTAGGAACCTGACTCTTCAAGTAAGCTGCCCTACCTTAACTGGGTGCAGCCCAGTCATGTCTGTGACTTTGACAATAAGCATTCAAAACTGAGTCTTCCAAAGGAAAGCAGGCTACAGCCATGATAGTGTTTCTATAGTCTGTCCATCTTTCTTACACCACAGGAAAATAGGGTCATGAGTTTCAAAGTTGGTCGCCTGGCTAAAGATATTTCTACTTCACCAAATACCAAATGATAAGGACGTAAGAAAAATATACTTATGACATTCAGTTCCTTTTAGACCTGACCTGATTTGCTTCCAGGTAGACAGTTGACAATAGTTAGCCCCAAGGCTTCCCTCAACATTGTGTGTTGTGTTTGATTACATGGGAGAAGAGTTCCGAGGCCCTAGTGCCCTGTCCTACAAACAGGGCTTAATTAGATAGTGACATTATCTCCCTTATCATCTCTGGTATTTTGAGACTTGAAATGTCATGAAGTTTCCTACCTACAGCACATGCTAGGGTCTTCACAAGGGCTTTTCCTCAAATACTCAGAGTTAGTGTTTCCCT